CTCACTGGCTTAGTCCTCAGTAGCTTCTCCACAAAGTGGTGGGAAAGAATTTAGAGCAAAGCTAAGGACCACCTTAAGGCTTCGTGGAGCACACAAATCTCACTGAGGCACGACTGGTCCTGGCCGCTGCTTCTCTCAGTGATGGTACAGGTTTCACTGTTGGTGATGTGAAAAGGTGTGTATTATGTAAGTCCTTCTTGGCAGGCTCAGGAAAAGGGAGGCCAAAATATTTATTTAGATATCTATGTTAAATATTTTCCATCCTCTGCTTCACTCCCCAAAAGCCCACAGCAGCTAGAGCTGGGCCAAAGCTAAGCCAGGAGCCAGAAGCCCCGTGCCCCGTCTGGGAGTCTCCAGTGGGCTGCAGTCACCCAAGTATCTGGGCCCTCATTGAATGCCTTCGCTGGGCCAGGACTCTGACTTTGGCATACAGGTGTTGGCAACTGAGCCCCCTGCACAGGAACTTTTGGCTTTTTGTGGGTGCTTTGATAGGAGATAGATGTTCCCTTCTGCCCAGCTAACACCAAAGTCCTACCAAGTTCCAAAGCTTCCTGAAGGCCGTGGGTGTCTCTTTTGAAGGAACTACTCAGCTCAATTTCATGCACTTTTGGCCTTTACATGTCTCAATCTTATTGTATTGTCTGGTGTTCTGTCGACAAAATATCACTGAAGATGTAGCTGCCATTGTGTGTATGTCATAGCTGGGCTCCTTTGTTGGTCTTTGAGCTCAGTGAGCCTTTCCACAAGGCGCTGAGCACCGTGCTGGTCACGACAGCGTCTCCTCTACTCTTCAGAGCTGAGGGCCATGGGAAGTGGAGGTGTTGGAATAGAACGGCAGAACACACCCGAGTTCCAAGAGTGCTGACAAGTCTGCTGAAGTTAAAGAAAGGCATTATTGAAACATCTTGTAGCAAGTATTTTCTTTGGAAACACGTAGATCGTGACTGCTTGGTGTGCATGAAACTCATACTTTCAGAATGTCATGAAAAATGGAAAAGTATATGAAAGGCATTCTAGCTTTAGGAAATAATGCTGGTAGGGATTTTAGATTAAAGAGGTAATAAGATCTGCCTGGGCAGAGTGAAGAGAGACGGTTTAGTATTGAAAAATAAGGTTATCAGGCGAGTAAATGGCAGGCTGGAAAATAAAAATGTATCATTGCAATGGCGGGAGTTGTTGCCTGTTTTTCAGGAAGTAAGATATTGAAGTTATCATACCCCAGCACCATTTAACTGCAGCCTTCCTGGAATGAGCCAGGAGTTCAAGGGACAATGGCAGGAAAAATGTAGGAGTCCCACTCCAAGATTAGGGTTCAGTGTGTGGTTGATCTCAGGGGCCGAGGTGTAGATTAAATACCAAACGAACAGCAAACTGGATGCAAATGTCACGGTGCAGGAAATAATTGCAGACTGGTTTGTACTTGGTGGGGAAAGACAACATTTCGAGACTGAGGACTTGAAATCTGGGCAGGCTGGAGGAAAGGCCTCATGTGCAGCGTGCTAGATGTGAGATGGTGATGCTGCGTCTGCTTCAGTCAGATCTGAAAGAGCACTGTCCTCAGAAGGCAAGAACTGAATTCACTTTACAGTGTGGCTGGCAGCCTTCAGCCCTCAGGCCAGCCTAGTTCTCAGAAGGAACATTTGGGCAAACAGCGGGCAGCACCCTCTCCGAGGGCTGACCCTGAGTGCAGGTGTCAGGGTTTAAGTGCACTGAAAAGTTCTTCAAGTTCTTGCATCATTACACGCAGCTAATTCCTGTGATCAAGTTCTCTTTTTACGATTAGTTTACCACAAGCCAAAATCCCAGATGCTGCAAGGTGCTTAGTAGGTCCTTTATTGCAGCAGAGTAGGCATGGGAGCAGGGGTGGAGGGAGGAAAACTGGAAGGGACGTGTCTCCTGCCATGGTGGCAGGAGGGCGGCCGCCAGGGCAGGGGAAGGGACAAAGATGGAGGGGGATGGAGAAGAAGCAGGTAAGAGAAGGGAAGAGAGAGCGAGAAGGAGAAGGGAGGGGCTGTATGAGCTGTGTGCTTGCTCAGGGTACTGGGCACTGAGATGATCTGAGCTACAAGTGAGTGGAGGCCAGGGGGAGGGGTCAGTGACGGGGGAGTGGGATTCTCAGGTAACGCATCAAGTTCCATCTGATTGGCGGATATCCAGAACTTGGTGGATTTTGCACACTGTGGGGAAGAGGAAGCGGGAAGCAGTGCAGGGTCCAGGATGGAATGCTAGAATCACTCCTCCCAGCAGGTGTTCCACTCTGCAGAGGGATATAGCCTAAATGCTGAGAGGAAGGGGTTGATTCCGGTCTCAGAAAAATTATCAGAGAGTGGAGCCAGTGTTGCACTGTAGTAGGGAAAGCCACCTGCCATCTGGGTGTTGAGGCCGGTTGTGACCCAGCTGCTCACCAATGCCCTGAGAAAGAAGTGCCCAAGTGACTAGGCCCTTGCCAACCATAGGAGACCTAAATAGAGTTCTTGGTTTCAACCTGGCTTGGCCCTGACTTTTGCAGCCACTTGGGGAATGAACCAATAAGGTCCTTTTCTCTATAACTCGGACTTTCAAAGAAATCAATGAATTTTAATAATGAGATCAGCGATGCCCTTGCTCTAAAGGGACATCGTGAGGCCCCCAGGTCAGTGATGATGCTGAATCAAGAAGAGGATGCCGCAGCCCGTGGCAGTGGCCGTCCACGTGTTCTGGAGTGAGGCATATTAACTGGAGAGCTAGTGGGAGTCCTAGGGCTTGTCTCTGCTTCATCTGATGAGGCAGGCTGCCACAAGCTGGAATCCTGAAAAGGAGAAGAGTAAGAAGGGGTTTGGAGAACTCAAAAGATGTAAGGGTGTGGCACAGTGGCTGTGTAGACGTGAGAATGTGGCAAGAAGGCCAAGGGGCAGACTCAACTGCCATGGAGAGAATGTGCCAACCCGTAGAGCGTTTTGATTTCTCTCCAGCCAGCCAATCTGCCACTGGTGCGTAGAGAAGCTGAGGCTTCTGTGGGCAATTCGGATGAGACAGACAAGATGGCCAGCAGTGTGAATGAGTGGTACTGGTGATAAAAGGACTGGAAGAGAGCTTTGGGCCCAAGAACACCTCAGGGTGACAGGATGGAGGCTCAGTGAGGGATGCTGATGGGCTGCCTACGAGCACAAGTGGGAGTTGAGTTTACTCCTTGAAGATACCTTCACTACATCATAGTTGCCATTTGTCCTGACTTGGTGACAGGTCTGTTTTCATCAAAGGAAACGGATTGGCAGATAGGTCGGACTTCAGTGCTTTGAGTGCTGGTCCTATAATGAGACATGTCTCTTAATTGTGGAATATTCCTTTCTTAACTGTGTACTTGATGCACATTCCTTCTCTTATCCTCTGAGCAGCCGAAGTGGATGTGTCAGAAGTATGGGCGCTGTAACAGGCTTCTTTTGGAAGCTGTTGTCACTCAGCTGTAACACCACCACCACAATGTATTGGGCTCACTCGTAAGCTTTTAAGACTAATTGCAAAGGCTAAACTAGAATATTTCCTGGAGCAGCCTTTAAGCAATAATAATAATAATAATAATATCTTGTCTTGATATGGTGCTTTGCATTTACCGAGCACTCTCACATACCTCAGCTCATTGTATCTTCACAGTAGTCAGTGGTTTTTGAATGCTCAGATCTTTCCTAAGTGAGAACTCACGTTGCACACATGGCCAGCTGCCAGAGGTTATGATATGATAACTGCATCCAGGACCATTATGCACAAACGACTTTGTTGAGGACACCCAGGGGTCAGTTTTCAATAAGTAAACAGTCAGTAAGTAGAACCTGCCCAATAACATTGATGTTGTGTCCTAACTCATTTTCCTTTCCTCGTTGCAGCCAGTGTTTGAGAGCTACTTACTGTGTCATCAATTGGTTTAAATGTTACCAGGAACCCATTGTATCAGGGTTTTGTGTGTGAAGCTTTTAAACCCAGGGATTGTGATACTTATCTAAGCTCAGGAGGCATCAGAAAGTCACTCTATACCAACTTGTACTCCCTTCAAGATTATTACTTGAATCTCAAAAATATTTGAGGATCACAGCGGATCTCAGCCTGCCTGGCTTTGTTGTTCGGACAGTCTAGGGATAATTCAAGCCTCTCACTTGGCTCTGCCCCAGGAGGCCCTAGTGCAGAAGAATGGTTTTCTCTGGTTACCAGGAGCCAGACTTCTTGAGGCTGCCCTTAGGTGAGATGGGACAGAAGAGAGACCTGTTAGGCGGACTCTGTGGGACTCTGTGCCTGGGAGCTGTTCCTCGGAATTCCCCAAGTGCCCAGGCGGGAGCTCTGTGCCCCATGGCTCCTTGGATCATGCGGGCTTTGAAGTCATGGGAGATCCTCACCTTCAGAGCCGCATTGTCCAGAGCAGCTGGGACCTTCGCACGGGGATACCAGCCTTAGAAAGGCTGGCTGCACCATCTCAGGGCCTTTGGGGTGCCACTAAGGTGTCGGTCTAGTCCCCATCGCACAGCTCCCGCCTGCAGGCCTTCGCTCCCTTTTGGACCTTCTCAATTAACTTCAGCCTTATACTCACTCTCACGTGGCTGTTTATGGGGCTTGGGAGCTGCAGGAGGATAGACCCAGGCAGCCTGGTGCTTCACAAGCACACGTTTGCCTGGACATTATTATTTCTAGAGAGGTCCATGAAGCATCTTTAAGTTCCAGCATCTCTATTCTACACAGGAGGCCAGTGTTAGGATTCCTAAACTGCCTCTTGCAATTTGGAGCCGAGGCTTTCCCAAGGCATGGAAGAGCAGCTCTTCCTTCTCTGTCAGGCAGGTGTGCCTAAGGCTTCGTTACCGGGACAGACTGTGCAGTCAGCGTCTCAGCAGCCCGCTGGGCTCCAGAGAGGGGCCGGTCACGAGCGGGTGTGCAGCTGGGAGCAGATGTCAAGGCTAAGTGATGTGCCCAGCTGCAGCTGGAGGCGGGCTGTCCATGGCTGTGTTCTGTGTTCTGATCATCTAGGTCTCTCGTTGTAGGGCATCTTTCATGACCAAGACTGTCCAGTACCAAAGTGAGCTGCACAAATTCCTAATCTGGGACACAGCAGGACAAGAACGAGTAAGTCACTCTTTAATTTACTATGTGTTTCTCTGAGGTCCAAATTAAAGCCGCAACTAAACTGTCAGCATCCCTGTCATTTCATGTCAGGCGCTTCTCTGTGCGCCAGAGACACATTGACTTCCATTTGCATAGGCCAGCCTTTTTCTTTTCAATTAGAGCTGCATCGTCCACTAATGGAGAAAGCGGTAATGGGCTCTGAGGGCGTCTTTATACTTTTCAGTGTCTTAAAGCAAATGCTGACTGACAGGCCTGATAAACTGCTCTCAGAGCGTAGCATGTGATTCAGGCCTGTCCTCCAGTGCAGATATAAAAGAATCAGTGGTACAGTCAGAGTCCACACAGCTCATTTATAGCTGCCTTTTTAAAAGCTACGAAGGGAACTTTATAGCAAATAAGCTTGGAGATTTGAAGCGGGTGAGCTAATGCTGAGTCCTGCAGTGGGTACTTAGTAAATGCTTGGTGATAAACATTGGCTGCGATGGTTTTCTGTTTATGGAAGAGTCTGAGCCAGTGAGGAGCCTGCCTGAGCAGCACAGGGCCAGGGCAGACAGGAGGCAGCCTTCCCAAGGCACAGGCTCGTGCCCATGGCATTCCCCACTTCCGGGGCCTAGGTGGGGGAGAGGGGACAGGAGGCAGCCTTCCCAAGGCACAGACTCGTGCCATGGCATCACCCACTCTTGGAGCCTAGGTCCCTTTTCCCTGCTGTTGTCTCCAGCGACCACTGTTATTCAGCAGCTGTTTAATTTTGTTTTTAAACAGTGCCATCCAAAATAATGACAGAGTACACAATGCTATCTTATTTATTTGTTTATTTTTATTAAAAAGACGAATTTTCAAAGAGGAGAAACAGAAAGATCTTCCATTCACTGATTCACTGATCTGGTCCAAAACTAGGAGTCAGGAGTTTCTTCTGGCTCTCTCAAATGAGTGCAGGGTCCCAAGGCTTTGTCCCATCCTCCGCTGCTTTCCCAGGCCACAAGCAGGGAGCTGGGAGGGAAGTGGAGCATTCAGGACACGAACCAGCATGGGATTCCAGCGTCACTAGGCTACCATGTCAGGTCTAGTGGTGTCTTCTTACAAGTATCCCAGAAGTTGTCAGGAGAGGGGAGCCAACACAGCCTTACCTGGGAATGAAACAGGGGGGTCTGCAGACACAGCCTTATCTGGGTCGGGACAGGGGAGTCTGCCAACACAGCCTTACCTGGGAATGAAACAGGGGAGTCTGCCAACACAGCCTTATCTGAGTCGGGACAGGGGATCTGCCATGACAGCCTTAATGGGACAGGATAGAAACACAAGTCATGGCAGACAGAGTAAAGCAGCACAGCGTGACTGCTCTCCAGGGTGGAGACACTGCACGTGTGTGAATTGATTACCTTCAGTTTACTTTGACTTGTTCTGTTTTTGATGCTGGATTTCACGCTCCTGGCCAGTGGCTCGTCTGAGATGCACTGGCTTGCAGTATTCCTTCCTCCTCCCTCCTCTGCTGTGTTGTACACGCACAGTGGAGCACCTTTGCCAGCCAGCATTCCTACTGGGCAGTGGCCCTCTGCTGAATCCTGTTAAAACTAACTTGTGGCTCTTCCTGCTAGTACCCTGTGTATCCCAGTACAGGAGCTCATGTTTCTGTTCCCAGCTCACAATATGTGATGATACAGCAAAGCTCTCAGCATAAAGAATCCCACTGGGGTAGGCTTGTGTTGTAGTAGCTAAGATCCTGCATGTAACACCAGTATTTGCATGTGGAAGTTCCTAGTTCAAATCCTAACTCCACTTCTGGTCCAGCATCCTGCTGATGCACATCCTGGGAGGTTCCCTGCCACCGTCTGAGATCTGGGTTGAGTGCCTGGATTCTGGTTTCAGCCTTCCTCTGCCCTGACTTAGGCATTAGGGAAGCAAACCAGCAGATACAAGATTTTTCTTTCTCATTCACTCTTGCTCTTTTTCTTTTTGTCTTTCAAATTAAAAAGAAAATAAATAAAGTTTTAAAAAATCATCCTGCAGGGCCAGCACATGGCACAGGCAGGTTAAGCTACCAGCTATGACAGCAACATCTCAAATGAACTCCAATTCATGTCCCCGCTGCTTCACTTCTGATCCAGCTCCCTGCTAACATGCCTAAGAAAGCAGTGAAAGATGACCCAAATCCTTGGGCTCCTGCCACCCATTTGACAGACCCAGATGGACTCCCAGGCATATGGATTTAGCCTTTCCCAACCTTAACCAATGTGGCAATTTTGGGGATGAACCACCAGATGGAAGATCTCTTTCTGTTTCTCCTCTCTCTCTCTTTAACTCCGCCTTTCAAATAAATAAATAACTCATAAATAATGCAGGTGACTTCTGGCCCACCCCTGTCCTGATGTCCTCGGTGATGGTGACATCTCCTTTTTTCTGGAATGTGAGAGACTAGCACGGGGAGTAAGCCTTATGATGGCACAGTCCCTGCTTTGCCTGCCTGCTCTTACCCACTTCTCATGGGCTTTCAGTGGGAACAGTTGTTGGGATTCAAAGCTGCCTGTATCCCTGAAATACTGCATGCAGCTAGAATGCAAAGGGTCCTGCTGCAGGCCAGGGCCACTGCACTGGTCAGGAGGCCAGTGCTGGGAGACAGCCAGGAGAGACCTTGCTCCTGGTAGGCACACGCTCCAGGCCACTTGTTCCTGGACGTGGAACACATGTTTAGAGCTACTGGATCATAGGGCCAAAGAAGAAAAGATAAACATGGGACAACTTCAGAAATGATTGGAAATGTGAAATTACACAGAGCACATCCGTGAGCCAGCTGCTCGTTTGTCCCGGGCACAAGGACTGCCTACCTGCCCCAGGCAAGACCTACAAGGTGCTGATGGTACAAGCCAAGGCCTGAGTCCATCATGTCTGCTTACCCGCCTATTGTCGGTGCCAAATTGCTCCGACACGTGTCATTATTGTTTCATCTTTTGCCTTCAAAACCCTCTTTTGAGATCGCCTGGTTGGTAGTAGCTTTTCCTAACTCTTCCTGGTGGTCTCAGACCGGGAGCCCCAATGTCCCCACTCATATCATGAGACTGAAGCTGGAGGTGATCGGAGTCCTCCCTCACCTGTAGCTCGTACTGCTGCTCTCTGACCTCAGTGCATCTGAGACACGCTAGTTTCTTTCCACGTCCCTGTCCCCTGATTGTTCCTTCAGAATCGTAAGCAGCCTCCCTGCTTCCCTGAACCCAGCCCTGACCCATGGTGTTTCTCACAGGGCACAGAAGAATTCTATGAAAACACCCATCAGATGAAAACACCCATCAGAGCCTCTTATCCCCCTCCCCCCCCCCGGCTCCCTGCAGTAACTGCGTGGAAGCCGTGTTCTGGACAGAGGTGTCTGCTGAGCTCCCCCCCGCTGCCAGCCCTGGTCTGCACCTCTCGGTGCCCTCTTGGCCCACCCTCACATTCCCCACTGAGTCCCAGCTGTCAACTGTCATTCAGCCCCTTCAGCACTTCCTGCCTTTGGACCTTCACACCTGCTCATCCTTCTCCCTGGAATTCTTTTCTGTCCACTTGAAACATGACCAGCAGCTCATTACCAACTGTTGTGTCTCAGGTTAAATGTCGCTCAGAGACTTCCCAGTGCCCAGGACCTTAGCAGTGGCCACAGCTCCTTCTCCATCACTGTCCTTTGTGGTCACTCGGGACAGTCCCACCCCAAGTTGTAGTTAAGCTCTCTGCCTATTCTCCCTTCCCGATGGTCTCTCCCACCAGCCTGTAAAGTGCCAACGTTGAGACCATAGTGGTTACTACTGCATTCGCAGAACCTAGCACATCATGGCAAGCACTCGGTACTCCTTCATTAGTTGAATGAGTCTGCACTTCCACTGTAGCCTACACAGTCTTGGTCCCCATCATAGGACCATCGTTTTCCCCAGCCTTGTCTGCCCTCCGTTGGCCTGTCTGTTCTGTGGGGCAGGAACCCTCCTCAGGCCTCTGCTCTCAGCCCCAGACAAAGGGTGTTGATGCCAGAGTGTGTATGTCAGCTGATTGCCAGCCATAGCTGGGCAAAGATAAAGACAGATCCTCTTTCTGTTTTTATCATGTGAGTATGCAAGCCTCAAGTTGTCAGTTTGTGCTTTTACATGTTTATTATTTAGTTCTCTGTAGTTGTAAGATTAATTAGGGAACCAGAAGTCATCATATCATAAAGTAAAAGTCCTTTCTGTTGAACTGATTGTTCAGAACTTCTCGCCGTTTGACCCTAACATCTTTTGCCACAGTTTTTCCCCCAAGATGTTTATTTAAAATGCAGAATTAGACAAAGATAGTGTGTAATTCCTGGCCATCTACTGTTTCACTCCCCAAATGGCCACAGAGCCAGGCCGAAGTCAGGAGCCAGAAGCTCCCTCCCAGGCTCCCGCGTGGGGCAGGGGCCTGAGGGCTCGGGCTGTCCTCCACTGGCTTCCTAGGCACACTGTCAAGGAACTGGATTGCAAGTGGAGCAGCCAGGGCTCTAGCCAGTTCCCGTGTAGAGTGCCGACATCACAGGCAGCACCTCAGGGTGCTGACACATGGTTGTCCTCTTCCGGTCTTGTCACCACTGCTTGCAAAATAATCTCATTAAGTTGATAAGTTATTTTGGAGAATTTCTCAAATGCATGTGAAGTTCTTGACCATAGATAGGGATCTTGTAAAACTAAATGAAGAGAAAAATACCAAGATGATGATAAAAATGGCTCACAAAATAGTGGTTTGTGTTTCCAAGAGTTAAGGGAGTCCAAGGAAAATTGATGGAGCTCTCAAATATTTTTTGTAAAAATTATTGTTTTGATAATAGGACTCTGAGAGTTAAATATAAAATGAAGGATATTGCATTGTGTTTGTGTATAGTTTTATCAGAAAAATCATTCAAGTTATCAATCAACTTTGATTCAGTGTTCAACCAGAAAATTGGCTCCTGACTGTAATAATAAACCTAAGTGTTTTCAAATGCCTAGTAAAATGAAGCTTGTCTGCATGATTTACATTTCTGTTCT